AAATGAATTTGTTAGACCGAATTATTCGAAGATAGAATTTATGTAAGGTAAAACATCGGATATACGTGAACACCCAAAAGAATGGCAAAATTCGACACTCCTCAGACCATAAAATAAATCAAAAATTCCTCGACTTTAACGACGTTACGGAGGTGATGTCCTTGCAACGGACATAACCTCATTTCGAATCCAGAAACCGGTGCTAGTCGTCTCCGTTTGAAATTCACCTTCCTGTTCAATAAAATATCAAATATTAGACGCAAATAAAAACGATGATGGACTATCCAACTACGCTACCTGTTGCCGCTAACAAACCAGTTGGTAAATAGAATTTTTTATTCGCGTTTTCAGTTTGTTATTGCTTGACATTGATTAATTTGCATTTCCAAGGTTTTTCGACGAACAAAAAACCGATCAGGTGCAACTCGTCTCACGTACGCATTCTAATTTCTAATTACAGTCCTTTTTCGGGATCAAAGTCACTTTATCATCGCTTGAGAATGAGGAAATATGATGACGGATGGTCCTTTGTGGCATGTTCATCTTTGGAATTTGATTACTTTCGGTTTTGTTGGGAGTTATTTGTTGAAATGGGATGACTTTTGAGATGGTATAAATATTACTCGGGCTCTTGAGCGATAATTCCTTTTTCTAGGGATGTAATCGATATAAAAGAGTGAACAAATTTAAATTTGACATAATTTATTTATTTATTTCTGACCGGGATATTATAAGCTTATATCGTCATAGTTACGCTATCAATAAAGAGGGTCATAACTCCCTTGGGACATTATATAGCATAAATAGCGTTAGCTTAGTTTCCAGTTTAATCTTCCTCTTGAAGATGATCACTTGGTGATCAAAACACGTCTCGAGGTGTTAAAAATAACGATTTGGTGTTGGGAAAGAACTCCAGTAATATAGTTTACATGTTGTTTGGTGAAAAGTTCATACGATTTTAATTCAAATTTTGGGCATCGAATTTCCTCTAGATGGATTAGATATGAACAATTATGAAGCAGATAATGTGACTCCTTGTCGCTCTAATCTATATGCATTTTCGAATCACACTGGATCTACCTACAGCGGACATTATACAGCATTCTGCAGACATCCTTATACTGGCACGTGGCACGAATACAATGATTCACACGTGTCACCAATTTCACCAAAATCGCTTGTGAGTGGAGATGCATACATCCTCTTTTATGAAAAGGAGGAAACGAGTTCGCACCTTTGAGCGTTTTGTTAAGTTATTTTTGAACTGTTCATGTTATGTATTATCTAGTTAACTGTTTATAATTCATTCGAGAAATACACTAGTTTATACTAAAAAAAATTATGGGCACTTCTCAATGATTTCTTATGATCAAAATCATGTCCATGTGAAAAAGCACTTCTACAGTAGCAAACCGTATTCGAATCATTATCTTTTCTCAATCGTTTCACAATATTTTCCGTAAAACTGTCCCATTCTGTAGTCAATCTCAAAAGAATCTAACAGAATATCTCAAAACGTTATAACTGTTTTGATGTTTTATTCGTCATCAGTGTCATTAATGGGAACAGGAGGATGACCGATGTTTGATGGATAAGTCAGAGACTGCTCAACATGCTGCTAATTGAACCAAATATTATAGATGAATCAACTCATCTCACTGGCAATTACTGCAGTCACAATCTGCACCTCTGCAGAAATTTCTATTTTTTCATAAAGTTCAGTTCACGGATCGAAAATTCCTGTAATTGAACGCCGATCCTCAGATGTTGACGTATATCAATTTTAATAAATACAATTACCAACCCGTAATTGACAGATTTTTTTCGATACACGCACCACTGATGTTCTGCACAATTCGCATCACGGCAAAAATAAGTAGCTGTCAGCTTGCACTGCAAATGTCATCAAAGCAGATGGAATCCTACAAATCGACAAAGCAGTCGCTTCTGGAGTGGGTCAAACGTTGCAAGGTTTCGATATCAGGATAGCTTGAAATTACTTCTGTATAGTTTTTTGTTGTTTGGTGAAACCCAAGAAGCCTCCAAAATTCGATATCAGAACAAGAAAATCCGTATATATCATTCTTGTGACAGCTGTGATAATGATTCAAGACACTATATGCAAATATACCCGAAATCTTAGCCTTACACTCACATTTAAATCGTAGCAGGCAGTGTCGCACTTGTTGATTTGAACTTGCCTGAAATGTGTTCTAAGTATCTTATTCTAAAGTTTTTCATCGACATCATCTTCATTTTCTGTTTATTTTATAATCTTCAGTGAACATAAATTTGATTGTTTTCTTATCTTTTCTGCATACTATTACACCTCTTGTGTTTTTTACTTTGGTAACATTGATAACATTTTTGTTTTGTTTTTGTATCATTGGTGCTTTGAGTTTAACTATAGAGCTCTTGTCAGCTTTCTATACTCTCAAGTGGGAAAGACCATAACTTTTGAGTTTGTATTTTTCAGCTTCAAGGTTATGTGATTCTTTCTGAAATTTCATGTTTTTCCATTCATCAAGAAAGAACAAAGAAAACTTAAACTATCAATACTACCACTACTACCATTATACTATAACAATTTTCAATTGAAGGTTCATTAGCAACGTCGCACTTGAATTGACCAACGGATAATCCTCTTACCAACTCTGCAGAGGCGTACCAAAATAAAATTTTTATTTATTTAAGCACATAGGTAATTACGTAGAAATTGTTATAGGTGGCGCTACCTGATGTCAATGGTAAAATTGATTACATTTTATTATTATGCCTAATACAGTGCTTCAGAAAAACAGAAAAATTTACAAAATAATCATTATGTTCCTTTTATATAGAAAGAGAACTACAAAGCAAAGAAATAATTACCTATGTTATGCTTTTGAAGTTTCAGAATCCATTGACTCGTCCGAAGAGGAATCCCCGGTCATACTTGAATCTATTATTATTTGATCGAAAACAGTGTTTACCATCCCGTCCAATATCCACATTTTCTCTTCTTCCTTGATCACATGGGCTACAGCATTAGCCCAATCTTCTCAACGTATCCGTTCCATTGCGAGTTCTAACAAACGTAGGACATCAGAAATTTTATATGTCCCGTTTCCACGAGCTACGTAACCCTTAATTTGAGCACAGATTAATTCTATCGGGTTCAACTCGCAGTGGTAAGGGGGAAGTCTCAAAATGGTGATGCCTTCAGCACGAGCTATTGTATCCACCACATGCTGGCGATATCTGTCACGATGCCGTTTAATGACACTCATAAGCTTGGCCTTAACCATGTCCTCGAAGAATGGAATTCCTTTTTGTTCTAACCAACTCTGCATGTCTGCTTTTCTGTTGGTCATAGTTGGCAGCTGTTTTACTAATCGGCTGTGATAAGAAGCGTTATCCATTACTATATTACCGAATTTGGCTCGACTCGTGGAAGAAGGGATTCAAACCTTCCTTCAAAGCGTTGGGCGTCCATGCCTTCGTGATAATCCCCCGTTTTTTAAATAAAAATTTGTGTGCACTATCGTCTAAAGAGCCACTCTCACTACCTAGATGGGCGACAATTAGTCGTTGCCCTTTACCCGTTGGTCCACGTAACCCTGTTGATAAACCGTCCACAAATGCTTGACGAGATCTAGTTGCAGTAGTATCTTGCCAGATCTTAGATACTGTGTGACCAGCATTCACCCACGTTTCGTCCAGATAATAAATCTTTTTGTGAGCAGAACGCATTTCTCTAATAGAGCTAAGATATCTCCTTCGCCATGAGACTATATCTTCTCTTTCTATTAAGACAGATTTACGGGATCGTTTCTTTTCAATTATTTACAATGGCGATGCATAGACAATAAAAATTACCCCGCTAAGAGAATTTAGTTCTAACATTTAACATTGTTGCCGTTAGCTCTCAGTTCAATTTGTATATGAGTTACCTTCAATTGAAAATTGTTATACTATAGCTCATATTCAAATAACTTACCTATATTTACTTGTCGTTCATCATTAAAAGAGGTTTTTCTGATTTCTGAAATAATGTATTTTGTTCCACATGTTCCACATTACATTTTACAGGAAAAATCAATAGTCATCTTCAGAGCCTGTAGAGAAACCGCGCATTTCATTCATTAGGCCACAGTCGTTAATGGATCTATAACTAATTATGACATTCACATCAAACCGCCCCAATTATGACTGCAATCAATATATAACATTGATTGATTAGAAAATTAAAAAACCGCTCGCTCTGCTTGGCTTACGTATGTGATAAGGTCGTTCGGTTTTTTCTATATCCTGATCCAAATTAGAAACTTTGATTTATGCATGCGTAGACCGCTCAGTCGGCATTTAATCGGGGGATCTCGATGTAATCGCATGATCGATTTACTGATTGGAATGCGTATAGATTTAATGCATTTTAAACGACTCGCGATAAGTCGTGATTCGCAAACTGTCGTCGAGTTTATTGAAATTAATAAGGAGAGCGGCGGAATAAAACAATGGGGGCCTCAAGGATCTCACCTGGGGCCCTGTACCACTCAAAGATATAATTCTCACAGTAATAACATTTACAGTCAATTATCAGAGTCATACACTGTATTTTACTAGTATTTTGGTCAAAATTTTGAGACAGAGAAATGAATTTCAACAACAAACTAGCATTCAAGTTGTATCGTCAGTGGATTAAACTTTTCATTTCTGTCAGTTACAAGTCTTTATAAAAACAGTTGCAAGTCTTGTTCTTCACAAGTTTGGCATACTGACACTCATCGTTGCGGTGTAGCCAATTGTGAAATGGGTTCTTCTGATCTTTTCAAAATAGTTATATTCTCAACACGAAGAAACTCTTTTCCGAGGCCTGAAGAAGAATTTGATTAAATTCGAAACGTTGCCATGAAAACGGTTTTTTTTCAAAGTAAATTTGATTTTGTTACCCACTTAACCCTTCTTGGAACTAAACCAGTCGATTGATGATTTTCTAACAACTTTTTCTCTTGTTGCAGGTGAAGATATGGTTTCAAAATCGAAGAAGTAAATACAAGAAGATGATGAAGGCAGCACAAGTACCGGGGGGTACCAACAACAACGGTACTCCCAGCGGTCATTCGGGTCTACTAGGTGCTAATCCAAATATGCCTTCAACCAGTCCTGGACCTCAAGGCCAGAATATGATGCAAGGTAGGATCAAATTGGAAGGTAAAATTCAATTTTCTTGAATTCATTCACGAAAAGAAATGATAACATCTTGGGTGAACCTTCAGATGAAGTTTAAAATCAGTGTTCCACAAGGATCAATTACATGACTCCTTTGAGTAGCTTTCGAATATGTGGAAGTTTTGACTCAGTTCAAACATTATAACCATCAAAAAAGACCACATCATTTTTTGACCACATTTTTTTCCGTATTTCCCAAGGTTTTATCATTTTCAGTACAAATTTGTATGAAGTATGATTCAGTTGAGTTTTATCACACCTCGTAAAGTTTCGATGTAAGCTTCTAGTTGTGAGGCCTTGCTTCATTCATCAATTTTATGGGGCAATTATAATGAAGTATGTTGTAATCCTACATATATCAAATTAGACATCTAATTGGTTTCCTATGAAACACAGTAATCAAACGTCATTACTGGTGTGATGAAACTTTGTATGGGCTACCTACAAAGACATTTTGAAATGGCAGATCAACTTCTTCATATCTTCCCATAGTAAAGTTCCTCTAATGAAAGTTTTGCCACCATCGAGAAGTGGAAATGGGTTTGACATTGTATGGTGAATGAAGATGCTTCATTTATTTTTTTTATTAATCTCAACAAATGTGATACATTTTGGGAAAGAAAGGTTTTGGCAGGGGAAGGAATCCAAATCTGGTGAATATGGTGGCTGAGGTATGATAACGGTGTTGTTTTTGGCCAAAAATTTAGAGTGACCAGGTGCTTTATCGTAATTCAAAAGTCAGAAATTGTTAGAGACAAGTGTAAAAACATGAAAAAAATCTAATATAGTGTATGCAACTCGCGAAGTTTGAACATTTACCTTATTTTTTGATTATACCTCGTATATTGGCAATTTTCTAAATAACGATTAGGTAAATTCATTGGTTCGAAATGGAGATCGATGTCTTTCATGAACGGACTTCAGTAAAGCATTTCATTGGATTTCACATCATCAGTTGATCATGAACTTATCAAGCTTTGGCATTTCGAGGAGCCTTCAATATCTGCTGAAATCATATCTTAGTAATAGAAAATTATTTGGGGAACACGAATGAATTAAATCGTTTATATTTAATGCAACTTCCGGGGTTCCTCAAGGTTCAAACTTGGGTCCACTATTATTTCTTCTGTTTGTTAATGACATTTCTGATGATATCAACTGTATAAAACTACTTTTTGCTGATGATATGAAGATTTTCAGGGAGATTGAAGAGTCTCTGATTGTATATCATTAAAAAACGATATTATTGAGTTACATGTTTGGTGTCAGAAAAATGAACCTTCATTAAATATAGGCAAATATAAAATTATGACTTTTGCAAGGAAATCCTCAGTACAAATATATAAATACAAATTGGATTAGTTAGGATTTGTTATGCGTAATAGCAAAGAATTCTCATCGTTAGAGGCAATTAGCTTTGTATATTATTCATTGGTCAGAAGCAAACTGGAATATTGTAGCTGGACTAACGAGGTCTTACCTTTCAACGTGTGATTCCTAACACGGTAATATAGATTACGTTTCATGTTTTAATTTTTGTTTCCCAGGACTAATATATGTATTATGTACTCCTGTAATTGGGTCTCATGACCTGTTGGATGAATTTTCTCAATAAATAAATATACAACTAAATGAATAATAGGAACAACATATTGAAGTGAGTGAATTCTTTGAATTCCGGATAATTTTTAGGACAAAACGCATACAAACGAAACTCGCTCTTCAACCAACATTTCATGTAACTGGAAATCGTAAATAATCCCCTTGAGGAATTTGGGTCAGCTTCAATTTCACCCAAAAAATTTCTTTTGTATACAACAGTGGAACCAACCTAATAACTCTGCAGTTCAGTTAATTTAATAATTGTAATTGTATCTCACATATTCAACCCGTCTACAAAAAAGAGACAGGTGTGAATATTTGGTTAATTTACGTTATTGAGCTGCCTGAAACAATCGCCTGAAACACAAGTTTACGACACTTCGATGCTAAGGAGATTGTTTATTCCTTCATCAAAATGTCACAGTCAACTTAGCCAGCCATAATTTCCGTAAGGAATGGTAATAACATGTTACATTTAATGAAAATGAATTGTGGAAGCCGATTAGTCCAGGAAATGAGGATCAGAGTCGAGTAAACTTGATAAGAAACATGTTCATCAAATACGAGTATACAGGGTGTTTCAAATTCGATCCTCACCACCAATTGGGGCAAAGTTGCGCTTTTACCTGACTAACAATATGCCGTTGGGAAAGTTCTGAAATTCCGTGTTTATCCGGAGATATCCGGAAAGAAAAGGAAAATGGTTTTTATGTTTTCTGGCTTCATTTTTCGAAGGATTTGAAAATAAACTGCACTTCCACATTGCTACTTTTTCCCTGCTGTAGAATGTTGTTTTCCAGATTTGCTATCCGCCGTTTCGTCTTCCGCCACCATCATCAACTTTATTTTTTCTGTTGGGCGCTGCATTGTATTCTTTCTGTTTTGAATAGAACCAGATATTACCTTTTCGAAGATGTATCATAATTTATCATTCTTTTTCGAAAAATTGGAGATATTGAAAAAAATTAATTCTTATCGTAATAGGTTTTGACTTTGATGTTTCTAAATTTGACTTTCAATTTGTTACACTCAATGACATTTCGTTATAGTACAAGTCATTGAATTTTTGGCGAAAAATGGCTTTCACGAATGAAGAAAAAAAGAGATATGATTCAAATTTATTACAAATACGATAGAAACAGTGTTAGAACAACGGAAATGTATTTAAACCTGTATCCCGAAAAACGACAACCACATCGAACTACGTTCAAGTTATTGGATCAAAATCTCACGAATTGTGGGATATTCAACCGAAATAACCACCATTTGGAGCATAAACAACCCCAGGCAGTTCCGAGAAATTCGATTTCAAGTGCGATTTATCTACTATTAACGTATGAGCAGGAATTTTGGGTCCTCATTCATTTGATGGAATTCTGAATGGAGAAACCTATCACCAGTTTTAAATATCAATTTTGAAGACTATTTGGATGATCTACCTTTGGCTCACTATAACAACATCTGGTTTCAACATGATGGTGCTCCACCGCACATTACCAGACGAGTATCTAATTACCTGACTGAAAGGTTTGGTTATAAATGGATTGTTCAAGTTATTGGATCAAAATCTCACGAATTGTGGGATATTCAACCGAAATAACGACCATTTGGAGCATAAACAACCCCAGGCAGTTCCGAGAAATTCGATTTCAAGTGCGATTTATCTACTATTAACGTATGCGCTGGAATTTTGGGTCCTCATTCATTTGATGGAATTCTGAATGGAGAAACCTATCACCAGTTTTGAATATAAATTTCGAAGACTATTTGGATGATCTACCTTTGGCTCACTATAACAACATCTGGTTCCAACATGATGGTGCTCCACCGCACATTACCAGACGAGTATCCAATTACTTGACTGAAAGGTTTGGTGAAAAATGGATACGGAATAATGGGTCGGTGAGGTGGCCAGCAAAGTCTCCAGACCTAAGTGTTATGAATGCATTCTTATGGAGGAACCTGCTCCCCATCTGAATAATGACGGGTGAAGTGAAGAGTTACCATGTGATATAAGATAACATTAAAAATTATGCAAACCGTTTTTAAAGTTATCCCATTATTGCTATCTCGACAAGACACACAAGGTTGGTTGAACTGAACAATAGTTGAATATTTTGGGGCCTATTTTGACTGTTTTTGATTCACAAAACTCCGCATCCATTTCAAGTAATATGAGAATGAGGCAAAGGAATTTGGAAATCTTTGTCACTAAAAATTAGATCTGTTGAAATGTGATAAAAATTATATATCAATACGTATTTTTTGACGTTTCTTTTCCAAAACTTCATCAAAATTCTGCCAGTGGAGTTTCTTTTCAGTAAGAGTACGCAGAACAAAGGAAGATTTATGTATAATGAATAACGATACTGATTTTTTTTGACGTGCATTTTCTTTTATTTCATGACTTACTAATGAAACTTTTTCCAATATTCGTATATGTAGACAGCAAAACTAGGCACTCATACTCCATAAAATATAGTTTCCTCAAAATAGCAGAAGTGGGGTCCTATAAAAAACGATCTTTATAATAACAATGAATTTCCACATAAAATAATAATAACCAAATATTATTCACTATCAAGTAATATGTAATACATTTTTCCAATGTCGATCTTTCCTCAAGAAACTCCACCAACGAAATTCACCAAAAATTCACAGCTTTCACGAAAAACACAATCATACTTTTCCACCCACCCTCGTAAAACCCAAACCATTCATCGGAATGTTTCTTTTGTTTCAGGCGGCGGCTCGTCGAGCGGCTCCCCGGCGACAGGGGGATACATGCAACATTCGTCGCCCACCCCCAGCTCCACCCCCGGATCGGACATGTCGGGCCAGCCGGCCGCCAGTCCCGGCGGCGCGGGCGGGGGTTGGGGAGACATCAAACCCCATCAGCAAGCGATTCACCCGCCTCCGCATCCCGCGCCGCACCCTCATCCCCCGCCTCACAACTACCTCCCGCAGTACTCGTGGTACCCGACGGAAAATCCCGGCCTACTCACGTAAGTGTAGTTAGTTTTGTTTACGAGGGGCAGACGATAAGTTTGGTTCGCTAGTTCAGCTTTTTTAGTTTTCGTGTTGGGTTGTTTTGGGCTGAAAGGGTGCAATTCATTATGTTGTTTGATTGAAAATTGATTTGGTTCATCCGCTGCGCTCACTGTTTATTTCACAAACATTTTTTTGCATGTTTTTTTAAAGACAAAACACAAACACAACTGTAAAATCTTTAAGGCGCTCTAAGAGCGTTGCCTATGCGAAAGTAGCGTTGTGATAGTGTAGTTCGAGGTGTACTGAGTTGAACCTTAAAACGATGAGCAGCCAGAGTCCATCGCGTATTTCTGATATGAATCGTTCTTGGTGGAATCAAATGTGCCAAGTCATCAGAACACCTCCTGTGGAAGACAAATCCCCAACTTTTCTTCGATGCTCCAGACCAGGGGTCTCCAAACTTTGAAGTCTTCGGGCCATAATGATTTCTTCAGTTTGTTCCAAGGGCCAATTTTTGCCCTTAACTATATTTCTAGACTAGGATAGTCGCAAAGTGCGTGACCTAAGCAAACTTACGCTTTTTTTGCATTTTAATTATTATTGTGTATTGTGACACTTAACGACATCTAGTGGCGAGTAGTGGTACTATGTACCTACTATCTTTTTCAGCTACCCGCTAGGTGGCATTAGGCGTAATTAAATATTTGGAATTACTGCGTTGGTTCGAGAAAGTTCTGGTTCTAGTTAGTGTATTCCGAACACCTCGAGATGGCAGTAATAATTGCATATAAAAAGGCTAGCGGCGCAACTGCGAATTAGTCTGCGTAAGAAAGACGAAGGAAGCGAAACTGTCTATTGTGAAATAAAGTAACACACGTCAATACAAGTATTTTGATTCTACTTATTGTTTTTATGTGTGATTTGTTAGTATGGAAAAGAAGCGAAAAATCGACAGTGAATGCAGAACGTTCCAAGAAAAATGGAACTTTCAGTATTTTGTGATTGAGTCCAGTAATAAGGCGCTATGTTTAATTTGTAATGAAACCATAGCTGTTCTCAAAGACTATAACATTAAACGACACTATGAATC